TCCAACAATATGCTGCACACAAGAAATGCATTTAATTCAAAAACAAGTTCGTAGACTGAAAGTCAAAGGATAGAAAATAATACATGCAAAAAGAGCCCCCAAAAAAGCAGGGGTAGCTATTCTATTTGCAGACAAAGTGGATTTCAAGCCAAGAGTGATTAAGAAAGACAAAGGCCATTACATCCTTGTAAAGGGAACAATCCAAGAGGAAGAGATAACACAGCCAAGGACAAAAGCCATATGATCCTCTCAATAGATGTAGAAAAGATCCAACATCATATTGCTTCTTGGCCTTTTGACTAAGATCAAGTGAAGATCCAACAACCATTCATGATAAAAATCTTACAGAAAATTGGTGTACATGGTCTATATCTCAATGTGATAAAAGACATATACGACAAACCAGCAGCCAACATCATAATGAACAGACAAAAACTGAAAGCCTTCACTCTAAAATCAGAAACAAAGCAAGGATGCCCACTGTCACCACTCTTGTTCAATATAGTTCTAGAAACACTAGCCAGAATAATTAGACAAGAAAAAGAAATAAAAAGAATAAGGATAGGATAGGAAGAAGTTAAATAATGCTTATTTGCAGATGACATGATAGTCTACATAGAAGACCCCAAAAACTCCACCAAGATTTGTAGATTTGATAACCAAATTCAATGGCATAGCTCAATACAAAGTCGACACTAAAAAATCAATACCCTTCCTGTACATGAATAACAAACTCACTGAGAGAGAAAGGAGAGAAACCATCCCATTCACAATAGCATCCAACAAATGAAATACCTAGGAATCAATCTAATGAAGGAAGTAGAAGACTTCTACATTGAAAACTACAGCACTCTGAAAAAGGAGATTGAAGAGGATATCAGAAAATGGAAAGATATTCCTTGTTCTTGGATAGGAAGAACCAATATAGTGAAAATGGCCATACTTTCAAAATTTTTATACAGATTTAATGCAATCTCATTTAAGATTCCAACAGCATACTTTGCAGAGTTAGAAAAAATAATCTTAAAATTCATTTGGAACCAGAAGAGACCTAGAATAGCAAAGGAAATTCTAGGCAACAAAGGCAAAGCAGGAGGTATCTCAATACCTGACTTTATACTACAAAGCTACTGTGATAAAAAGCATCGTACTGGCAAAAGAACAGACCCAAGGATCAATGGAACAGACTAGAAGATGCAGAAGCAGCCCCAGACACATTCAGCCACTTAGTATCTTTGACAAAGAAGCCAAACACCTTCTCCGGAAGAAAGATAGCCTCTTTAATAAATGGTGCTAAAAAAAACTGGCTTTCCATACGCTGAAGATTAAAACTAGACCCATATATTTCATCATGCACTAACCTAAAATCAAAATGGATCAAAGATCTAAATATTAAAACGGAAACACTAAATCTGCTGGAAGAGAGAATAGGTAGAATGCTTGAGGATATAGGAGTAGGCAAAGATTTCATGAACAAAATCCAGACCGCACAGGAAATACTATAAAGAATCAACAACTGAGACCTCATCTTATTAGAAAGCTTTTGCACAGCAAAAGAAATCACCAACAAAGTGAAGAGACAACCCACAGTGTGGGAAAAAATTTTTATTCATCAGATAACGGACTACTATGTAGAATATATAAAGAACTCAAAAACATCAGACTCCCTAAATTTAAAGACCCAGTCCAAAAATGGGCATCTGAAATGAAAAGACACTTGAAGATGAAGAATTAGAAACACCAAATAAATATATGAAAAAATGTTCAACATCGCTGGTCATTTGTGAGATGCAGATTAAAACAACTCTGAGATTCCATTTCACTCCAGAAAGAATGGCTGCTATCAAAAAATCAACCAATAACAAATGCTGGAGGGGCTGTGGGGAAAAAGGAACCCTTCTCCACTGTTGGTGGGAGTGTAAACTGGTGCAACCTCTGTGGAAATCAGTGTGGAGATGTCTCAAAGAACTAAACCCAGAGGTTCCATTTGACCTGACTATCCCTCTTGTTGATATCTTCCTGAAATAATTAAAAGCATCTTACCACAGTGATGTATGCATGCCCATGGCTATAGTGGTGCAGTTTATAATAGCTAAAGCTTGGAAACAGCCCAAATGTTCCCTATCAACCAATGAGCGGATAAAAAAGATGTGTTTTTTTTATACAATGGAATACTATTATGCCATAAAGAAAGATGAGCTTCAGATATTTATAGCTAAAAGGATGGACCATATTCTTAAGTAAAATAAATCAGACATACATGTTTAAATACTGCGTTGTTTCTCTGGTATGAGAAACTGAAAGTGGAAATAAGGACTGAGATGTATAATGAATATTGGGAAATGGGAAGAAAGTGTTCAAATGGAGGGAGAGAGGGAGAAACGAAGGAAGGGGTAAGAAAAAAGTGAAAATAGAAGGAAAAATGGAAACAAAACCTTTGTACATGGGGGGGGGCTTGAGTTGAGGGGGAAATGGGATAAAATTAAATTAAATTAAAAATAAAATACCCTTGAAGGATGGCAGGACCTAGAGGGCACATGGGAGAATGACCCATGCAGGAAGGACATTTAGATGCTTAGTCCAGATGCGCTGTCTTGTGCAAGCAGGGAGATATTATGCATGTGTAAGAGAGAGCGTGCGTGTATGTGCACGTGCATGTGTGCCTTTTGCAATGAGGGGCAAGCTGAAGGGCAGGGATTTGGGCTGTGGTTGCGGCCAGGCCATTACTGGTTTCTGGGCAGGGAGGCAGCTGGCTGGAGAGGACCTTTGGGAAACGAAGCCAAAGGCCACTGCAAAGTCCAGGCTGGAAGGACACTTCGAAGCCCGGGTGGGTGGAGAGGATGAAGCAGGCAGGCTGTCACTGGGCTATGCCACCTGTGGGGCTTACTGGCGGGCTGTGTGTGGGGAGAAGGACTGGAAAAGCACTGGGACGACAGACCTGAAAGTCAAGGAGGAGAAGGGGTGGGCTGGGCTCAGTGGGTGGTGAGGCTGGAGCCAGTAGTGGGCTTCGAGGCAGGGAGGAGAGAGGGGTGGCTGGGGAGAGGTCATCGCCCAGCATAAGGGACCTGGGAGGATCTTATGCCCAAAGAGCAGGGGGGCAAGCGACGTGAGGGAGGAGGGACAGTCCTCAGTACTCCACCCTATCTGCTCCACCCCCACCCTGCGCCTCTCCCTCTGCCCCTCCCATCTCCCTGCTGCCCCCTTTGCCTGCTCCAACCCAGTCTCCTTCATGTCACTCTATCTCTCCAATGACCTTGTGGTCATTTTTCTCATTCCCTGCGACTGGGACCCTGGAGGGCACGCATGGTGACAGTCACACCTCTCTGAGCGTCTCTGTGGCCACAGGTCATGGCCTGAGCTTTCCCTGAGTGGAGTTCTCATCATGTGGCTGGACTGTCCCTGAGTGTCCCTGACAGAGAAGGGTCATCCCCTCCCCAAGCTGGAGGTCAGTGTGGTCATTGAGGTGGGAGGGTGGCTGTCGAGGGGTTCTGGCACTGGGGCTGTGGCAGCAGACCTTTCAGGGTGCAGATCTGGGAGGTAGGAATGGGACTTTTGCCTGGGCTGATGCTCACAAAAGCACCAGCTTGGGCCAGGTGTGGTGGTGCACACCTGTAATCCCAGCACTCTGGGAGGCTGAGGCAGAAGGATCATGAATTTGACTCCAGCCCGGGCAACTCAGTGACTTAGAGAGACCCTGTTTCAAAAAAATTTTTTTTAATAGGCTGAGGCTGTAGCTCAGTGTGAAGGGGAAAAAAAAGGCACTGGCTGGCCAGCATTTCCTGGATATGCAAGGACACCTCCTGAGCCTTTTTCTGGGGCTTATTCTTTCCTTCCCTGGGCAGGGTCTGGGGGATTCCCCAGCCACCTGCAGGCGCTTTCAGGCAGGCAGGGGAGCAGGAGTGTGGACAGGTCCCCCTCTGAGCCTCAGTTTCCCCATCTGCAAAGTGAGCAGGACCAAAGTGCCACCTCCTACTGCACTGTGCAGATTGAATGAATCTGCGAAGGCACTGTGTTTAAATTTAAACAGTGTCTGTTAGGAGCCAGGCGAATGATCATGACATTGTCATTTCCTTTTGCAGAGCTAAATAGCTCAGTGTCTCTCTTTGCCTAATGCACTTTCAGATCTTTTCAAGCTGAATTTCAGGTGCCGCATTACACACATCCTATTTGTGGAAGAGAGGGGTCCTGTGTTCCCCGAGAGCATCCAGTCTAAGATGTGTCAGGACCTCCACCCCTCCTTGGGCAGGGGACAGCGGGGAAGCTCTGGAGCCCCTGTGGCGGCTTGCACTCTGTTTTGGCTCCTGATTTAATCATTAGACAATCTGCTTTTCCCCTTTGCAGCTCCCTCCCGTGTGCCAGGGCCCTGGTTTAGGAATGGGGCACCCAGATCTCTGTCCTCATGGGGTTTGTATGACTCCCATGTCCATCTCCGTGTGTGTGTATGTGTGTGTGTAAGGCAAGAAAATGAATAAATTCAGTGAAGGTTTCCCCCTATTTGCTGCTTCAATTTCCATGGTTTCAGTTACCTGGGATCAACTATGGTCAGAAAATATTAAATGGAAAATTCCAGAAACAAACAATTCACCCATTTTAAATTGTGCACCATTCTGAGCAGTTTGATCCACCTCACACTGTCCTGTCCTGTCCTGTCCTATGAGTCCTGAATGGTCCTCTGGGCCAGCACATCCGGGTGTGCACACTGCCCGCCCTGCAGCCACTCAGCGACCATCCCGATTATCAAACTGACTGTGAGTGACCACAGCGCTTGTGCCAAGTGGCCCTGACGTGGAGACCAGCACTGGATCCCAGTGCCACCTCTTCCTCTAGTCTCATGGGACACCGAGCAGAGGCGTGGAGGAAGGGCAGCAGCGAGTATGGGCAGTGGGACCTGCAGGTGCAAAGGGCCGGGCAGTGCTGGCCTGGTGCCGGGCAGAGACATGGGGTGGGGCCCAGCGGGGGCCAAGGGCAGCTGCTCACTCTGCTCTCTCCTCCTCCCTCAGGCCTTCTTTCCCCGGCTCTGCTCTGTGCATGTGATGGCAGCCCCGGCTCTGTCCTGGTGCCTCCTCCTCCTGCTTACCCTCCTCCTGCCCCTGACAACACCCTCAGTGTCTGCAGAGGTGACCGGTGAGGACCCTGGCATGGGGCAGCTGTGGTTTCCCTAGCAGAGGGGCTGGGGCCTGCTGGAGTCCCTCCCAGACCTCTGCTTCTTGGCAGAAGGTCCAGGAGCAGCAGCAGCAGGAGGCGGTGGGTGGGGGGGCAGGGGGAGCTGGGCACAGGGCACCAGGAGCCAGGTGGCTGCGGTGCCTGGAGGCCACAGGTACCCAGGAGCCAGCCGCTCATACCCGTCCTGCCCACAGACACTTCCCAGCTTGAATGCTTCTACAACTCCAAAGCGAACATCTCCTGCCTGTGGAACCGGGAGGAGGGTATGCAGAACACTTCCTGCCACATCTGCGCCAGGTCAGACAAGCGGTGAGTGCAGCCCAGGGAACCTCAGGGCCTTGGGGCTGTGTGATCTCTGTGCTTGCGCAGCAGGCGGTGAAACCACTAAGCTAAATCCCTGGCCCGGGGCCACCAGATCTTAATATCAGACCCCATGACCGTCTGTGCTCACCGACCTGTGGATTTCCAGGACTCACATGTTCTTTGAGCTGGGGGACTTGGGACCAGGCATTGGCTAAGAGAATTGCTCAGTCAGATACTTAAGCTCCCGGACCCAGGGTGGGATGTAGGCTGCCTCCCATGCGCTGGAGAAGACCTGGGACAGGTTGTCGGGGGACTTGGGGCTGTGAGCCTACTATGCCATGGCCAGACTCCCCGTCAGAGGTGGGGGTGCAGTGGCGTGCTGGGTCATTTTTGAGTAATGTGGGATTTTGAGAGCCCTCAGGCAGCTGTGGGGATGGGGCCTTATCTGGACTGATGCCCTGTGGAAAGGGGGCTGAGGAGGGACCCCCTTTCTTTCTAAGGAGACTGTTTTGGTTTGACAGGCCCTGGAACAGGACCTGCGAGATGTTCCCAGTGAGCCAGACGTCCTGGGCCTGTAATCTGGTCCTCGGAGGCCCTACTGTGAGTCTCCAGGCCAGGGTGGAGTGGGGGGCAGGCTTCCCTTCTGCTCCAGGCTGTGGTCCCAGGGTGGGGGATCCCAAGGGAGGAGCCAGTGGCCTGGAAGAGGGGCCCTGGGTGAGGGTGCTGCCCTGCTGCCCCTGTCCTGCTCTCCCTCCCGGGCACTAGTGGGCACCGGGGATGCCCGGGTCACGTTTTCCAGCTACCATCAGGTGTTATGCATGGTGTGGGGGGGACTGGGGTGACACAGTGTGGTAGGAACCAGACGTTATGTTCCCCCTCTACTTGGAGCTCAGCAGGTAGCCTGGCTCCACCAACTCCTTGCTGTGTGGCTTCGGGCAAGTCCCTAAGGCTCTCTGTGCTTCAGCCTCATCGGCAGGATGGGAGCAGCAGTAGTACCTGTCTCAGAGTGCACTGAGGGAATTGAATGGGATAATCTGTCAAGTGCTTAGGCAAGTGCCCAGCACAGAGTAAGTGCTCGAAGGAGTGCATTACTGGCACCAATGGTTATGCTATTATTATCTGGGGAAGCCTGGTCCCCACAACTGCTGTAAGAAGGTGAGGGATGGGTCCCAGGGTGCAGGGCTGCTATTTGCTCAGAGAGGTCAGCAGGCCGGATCTGGAGGCTTGGACCCAACACCACTACCCCAGGCTGGGCTGAGCACGGGTCACAGCAGGGCCTGCCTGGAGCTTCCTCCTGGGGCTGCACCGTGGGGTCTGCCGGGCGGGGAGGCCCTCACTCTGTAGCGCTGGGCAGAAAGACGGCCATTCTTACAGCTGTGGTCACTCGGTGGGCTGAGGATGCAGAGGGCCTAGGCATGGCCCAGGCTCCCCGCTGACCAGCTGAGCTGTCTAGGGCAAGTCCCTTAAGGGACCCCATCCTCAGGTTCCTCACCACAGTGTGGGGAGAGGCCTTAATGATAGCTGCAAAGAACAAGAGGTGATCAAATGTGGCTAATGTTTAAATTTAAATACTTGCTACAGTGAAAGACACGCTGGCATGAATCTCCCTCCTAATCCTCCCTTTTCCTTCGAACGCGCTTATCCCATCATTCTTGCCACTTTCGGAAGCAGTTCTGGAAGTCCTCTTTCATGAGTGTCTTTTCATGGGTCCCTCTATGTCTTGAATTGATTCAAAATGTTAATAGCAATTTCTGTCAAATAAAAACATGACGGTGTGTCCTCATCTACCGAATTCACCACATCTGGCAGCATGTGACTTCTTGCTCATCCTTAAAATCAAGATGACCACGAAAGGTCAGTGTTTTATATTGATTCAGTATATTGAGGCAGCCAGGACAGTGCAACTAAAGACACCCACGAAAGACTTCCAGAACTGCTTCAGAAAGTGGCAAGAACACCGGGATAACTGTGTTCAGGGGAAGTATTTTGAGGGAGATTGATGATGATGTAGTTTTTACTGTAATAATTTTCTAAACACACACCATATTGTTAAAAAAAAAAATCATACCTTGTAAGTAGCTTGGTCGTCTGAACAGCAGCTATCCATGAGGTACTCAGTAACTGGCAGTTTCCCTCCAGAAAAATTGAGGGTGGGGAGAGATGGGGAAGGGGAAACATTTGCACTTGAAGCCATTAAACTGGTACAGGTTCCACCTTGTTTGGGAGCTTTCTTGAGGCTTACTGCTTGCAGAATTCTTATGATGGGGAGCTCCCTCCTTCCCATGTTACATCAAGGATCAGTAAACGGTCAGTCTATGAGGCAAATCTGGCCCACTGGCTGTTTGTAAATAAAGTTTTATTGAAATGTGGCTCTGCCATTTATCCACATGCCACCCGTGGCTGCTTCACATTACAATGGCTGAGTTGAGTTATAGTGGCAGATACTGTGTGGCTTAAAAACCAAAAACATTGGCCTGTTATGGAAAATGTTTGCTGTTCCTGCTCCTATCCTGCTTGTGTCCCCACTCTGAGCCCTGCTGCTGGCAACTCCATCCGGCCCTCTCCCTTTGTAGTCTCAGCCCCTGACCTCGGTGGATATCATTACTGCACACGTGATGTGCTGGGAAGGCGGACAGTGGCAAATGGTGGTGACCAAGAACTTCAAGCCCTTTGACTACCGTGAGTGAGGAACCGAGTGGCACCTCCTTCGCTGTCTTAACCTCCTACATCCTCCCTGCCCTCCAACAAAGGCCAGTTCTGCCATCTGTGCTCTGTGCCTCTGCACATGCTGGTCCCACTCCCAGAAGGCCCTTCCACTTGGGCAATTCCTGCTCATCCTTCCAGGCACAGCAAAGAGTCCCTTTCCCGAACTCCCCCAGCTTTTCATACCTCTGCTTGCAGAGAGTGTATGTTCTGTTCTTATTGCCTGATTGTAGCTCTGTCTCCTTCCTGGCTATAGCTCCCTCAGTGCAGAGTCTCTGCTGCCCCTCTGCCTCCTTTCTGACCACCCAGCACTAGGCCTGCTTGGGGAGGTGCTCTGGGGAGGGTTGTTAAATGACTGAGTATCTTCCCATTCCCCTTGGCCTTGGGGACCATGGCTGGGAAAGAGGTGTGGTAAAAAATGAGATCCCTCCCTGATCTCATGTGATCTGACTTTCTGAGCCTCAGTTTCCTCACCTGTAAAATAACCAGTACCCTGGTGCCATTAAGGAGTCTTTGAGCCATGACATGCTCAACATGTAAACTTTCACTTATCCCTGCGTTTGAGTCTTCCGATTATAGAGACTCAGGTCACTGTAGCACAGTCCCTGTCCTCCGAGAGCTCCCAGGAAGGCAGGGCAGGCAGAGCCAGAACTAGATGTGGAAAGGAAACTAAAGCAGGCTGAGGGGTGGGTGTGGGGATCAGGGCAGGCTTCTCCAAATGGTCAGGGCCCTGAGGACCCTGGGACAGGGGGACAGTAGGTGCCAAGGGGGCACTCAGCTTGCTGTCCCCTCCTCTCTCCCATCTGTAGTTCGCCCAGTGGCCCCCGGCTCTCTCCAGGTCACCCACGTGGACACCAACAGATGCAATGTCACCTGGCACCTCACCCAGATCTCCCACTACATCGACTCCTACTTGGAGTTTGAGGCCCGGACACGACTGCCAGGCCACAGCTGGGAGGTGAGGCATGGCTCGGCCCCATCTGGCATCCTGACTTGGTGCACGTCCATGTTCACGGTGTCCTGCATCTCAGCAAGGTTGCCTGTGCCCAGGCAGTCAGTGGGTGGCGGAGCCACCCTGGCCACTCCTTCTATCCTGCCTGGTGTTACCCTCACAGCCTGGGGACCCAGCTGGTAGCTGATTCCAGGCTGACCCCAGGGCCAGACTCCCAAAGACAAGAGGCAGCAGTGGCCTCCTTGTGAGATTTCAGTGGGCGGAAGCCACCTGTCCATACTTCCGAACTAGTCCCCTGGGTTCCTGGGGGAAGGTGGCCTCTTCGTTCACTTGATTGCTCCTCTACTCACTGGTTGCCCATGCACACCTACTTACTGAGCACCTACTATGTGCTGGGCAGGAGGCAGAAGTGGAAAGTGATGCTGGCAAGCAGGGGCCTCACGTGGGCACAGGGCCTCCCATTGACAGGGGAGCAGGGCTGTGCTGGGCACAGTGGAGATAGCTCTGCAGGATACTGGGTTGCGTGGCTGGGGCAGCGGCTTGGCTGTGGGCAGAGGAGAGAAGGAGCCACTGGGCCAAGGGAGAACCCTCTTCCTGGTGTTCAATGAAGAGGAGACTCCTGCAGGGGCAGACACAGGGCAGGACAGCTGGTCGACCTGCAGAGGGCCCTGCTCAGCTGTGGGGCTCAGCAAAGGGGTAGGGCCGGAATGGGGCTGGGATGGGGTTGGGGCTGGTCCAACAGTGGGGAGGTCAGGGAAGGAGTGTGGGAAAGGGGAGGCTGTAGGGAGGAGGTGGGCAGGGGGACCTCTCAGTGTGACCACTTTGTCCCTCTCCCTGCCCCAGGAGGCCAACCGGTTGAGTCTCAAGCAGAGGCAGCAATGGATCTTCCTGGAGAACCTGGTGCCTGACACCCAGTACGAGCTACAGGTGCGGACGCGGGCCGAGCGAGGCCTGCACACCGCATGGAGTCCCTGGAGCCAAGCCCTGGCCTTCAGGACCAGGCCTGCAGGTACTGTGGGTCGGGGAGAGGAGGAGCTGGTGGGGCAGAGTTTCATAAACCCCACCCTGCCACATCCCAGCGGGGGGCAGGGCCATGGGGTGGGTCACAGCCAGGTCTGTCATGCGTAGAGTCCTCCCTGTGGTGCTCAGAGCCGAGGGTCTGTGCAGAGCCAAGGGCCTCCTGAATGTCAGCTTCGCTTCTGCTGCTCCCTCCCCTCTCCTCCCACCCCCTCCCAGGCAGGGCCCCCTGGCAAGATGTGGGCAAATGGCAGGTGGTGACACAGTTTCTTTCGGGGTAAGCCAGCTGAGGGGCGCCTCTCTGACATTCTCCTTGCTTCTCCTCTCCCCTGGCAGCCCCCAGGAAGGAGTCCCTGCCCCTCACTTGGGTCCTCGGCCCTGCTCTGGGCCTTGGACTGGTCAGCGGCATCATCATCTCTGTGTACTTCTTGGTTAGCGCCAATTGCCTTGGGCCTTGGTAAGAGAATCCCCTCCCCCTCCCTGTAGCCCACCAGCCTCGCTCCCAGGCCAGGAGGGATCCCCTCGCCTGCTACCCACGGAAGCCTCACTGGCCTCCTCATCCCTTCCTTGCTCCCCTTCTATCCGCTCCCACTGCACCTGGGATACACTGACCCTCCAGGACCTCCACTAGCTATTCGGAACCTTTGTGCAGATCAGGAATTGATGCCCTTTTCTCCAGGCAGATGCATACTGACCCTGGCCATTCAGCTTGGCAAAGCAGAACTTGGGCTGGAATTCAGCCCCTACTCACTATTCCCCTCAAAATCAGATGCCTTTGGGCAGTGCACAACTTGAACCTCCATCCATGGCAGGCTGGACTAGAAGGCTCCTCTTCTACCTCCTTCCTCAGAGTTCACTATGCTCCAGCCATTTCCAGCCCTGACCACTCTGTCTCGTGTGGTCTCCCCTGCCTTACTCCCACATCCTTCTCTTGAATAGCTCTCTACTCTGTGTCTCTACAGAATAAGTAGTAATATTACGCATTTCATTTGTGTCTGCCTCCTCATCAGAATTAGAGAGCAAGCAGCTCCTCGGCTGGCCATTCATTTTTGTGATTGTTTTTGTTTTCTATTTTTGAGATGGTGTCTGGCTAAGGTGCTCAGACTAGCCTTGAACTTGCAATCCTCCTGCCTCAGCCTCCTGGCTCAGTGCCCAGCCCTCAGAGCATGGGACTGACTGACACAAGACCCTGTCCCCACCCCACCTCACCCCGCCCTCACCCCACCCCCTGCACAGGCTCAAGAAGGTTCTGAAGTGCCACATCCCAGACCCCTCGGAGTTCTTCTCCCAGCTAAACTCCGAGCACGGAGGGGACTTCCAGGTAGGAGCCTGCGGCAGGCGGGGCAGGCTGGGTAGGGCGGGGCAGGGGCAGAGCAGTAGTGGCTTTTGCTGAATGAGCCAGTCTGCCTGGGGTCTGCTGTTTTCTGTCTGTGTGACCTAAGGAAGTTACAGAACCTCTCTGTGCTTGACTTTCTGCCCCTGTAACGTGGGAAGAAAATAGTATCACTGGGTGTGCTGCCCTGGGGACACTGGCTGGCAGGGACCCAGCCAGGATTACCAACCACAGTCACCTCGGGTTCTCCGAGTGGACTTGGCTCACGAGTACAGCCTGCATCGACTCCGGCATTGACACTGGAAGCCCCTGCACAGCTCCGCGGGCTCCCCTCCCCCAGCCCACCTGCTCAGGGCTGGAAGCTTGGGGGGCGGGGCAGAGATTGGGAGGGGCCGGTCTTACCCAGGCACTCTCCATTCGGCATATGTCTCCTTCCACTTCTTTCCTCTGTTCTCACGGGAGTGAGATCCTCATCAGTAAGGGTAATCAAGCAAGCCTTGGCTGACTGTCGGAAACGTAGGGGCAGGGCTTCCTATGTGAGGGCTGGTAGAGGCCAGGCTAGATGCATCCCCAGCCCTCTGCTGGCTTGGAGTCCTGACTATGGCCTGGAAAATAGTGTTGGGGGTCATGGAGATCACACCGCCCCTGGCTCCAGCTTCCGGCACCAGGCCCAGTGCGGGAGGTGGTTTCCAGGGACACTCGAGGTGTCAGGAGGCCAGGGCTGGCCTGGAGGGACCTGCTGGGGACTGGTCTCATCCCTGTCCTCTCCAGAACCCAGCAGCAAGGCCACAGGGCGAGTGTGGTCCAAGTGTGTGTGCATGTGTGTGTGTGCGTGCCTGTGAGTGTGCACGTGCGGAGTCACCTGGAGAGGAGGACCAGGTGTGTCCTGCAGTTGCACCCATTCACCTAGCATCGCCCCTGTGCCTAGGAGGCCACGGCCCCACTGCAAGGGCTCCTGGGACAGTCGCACTGGGCTCTCAAGTTCCCCGCCTGGGCCCTGCCACCCCCCAGGGCCTCCTGCTCCCCGCATCTCCCTGGGCCGGGGTCTCCTCCTCCATCTGCTTACTTGACTTCTCCCTGCCAACTCAACAGACAACAGTGAGGGAGTCAGGAAGGAGGTGGCCAACACTTGTGGAAACTGAGGCGCAGAGAGGGTCAGTGGCCTGCCCAGGACCACACGGCTGGACAGTGCCATGGCTGGGCTGGGACTTGGGTCTCCCTGCTCCTCACCAGGGCTGGGTGGACACCCAGCCACTGCAATGTGTCCCAAGGAACCATCCTTTCTGCAGGCGAGGAGGAGGGGCTTCAGGGCAAGGGAACAGAGGGGCAACTGGGGGCCTCTGAGCCCATTAGAGAGTTCTGAACCCAGCATGTGCTCACTAGGGCCCAACCCTGCTGGCCATCACAGGGCTAGGTGTGTCCCTCTTCGGCATCCGTAGGTGCACAGGATGGGTGCCTGGGCCTCCTGCTTGGGCACTGCTTGGTTGGCAGAAGCAGACACTTGTGCTGGTCCTCCTTCAGAAACCCTGGGGATTCTGTCCTATGCATGCCCCCATGCCTGAGACAGTGCTGGGCACTCAGTGGGTGCTCAGGGACAGGCATGCTCATGCCCTGGGCATTCGCAAGCCTGTGCTGGGCTCTGCCACTGTCTGCATGCTCCGTGGCAGAGAGGTGTGGGGACAGACTGGGGCCTTCCTAATGGGGAGACTGGCAACTACTGAGGTTCAGAGTGGGCGGGAGGGAGTTGCCGCTCACCCCCTGCTGGCCTCTCTCCCGCAGAAGTGGCTGTCCTCGCCCTTCCCCTCATCCTCCTTCAGCCTGGGGGCCCTGGCACCCGAGATCTCACCGCTGGAAGTGCTGGACAGGGACACCAAGGCCACGCAGCTGCTCCTGCTGCAGCAGGACAAGGCGCTGCTGCCCTCGCCCGTGCCCAGCGGCCACTCCCAGACCAGCTGCTTCACCAACCAGGGCTACTTCTTCTTCCACCTCCCGGATGCCCTGGAGATCGAGGCCTGCCAGGTGTACTTCACCTATGACCCCTGTGCTGAGGCAGAGCCTGAGGAGGGTGTGCCCCCGGGGTTTCCCCTCGTGCCCCTGCTTCCCCTGCCATCAGAGGATGACGCCTACTGCACCTTTCCCCCTGGGGACGACCTGCTGCTCTTCTCCCCCAGTCTCCACAGTGGCCCAAGCGTCCCCCACATTCTCCCTGGGCCAGCTGGGACCAGTGAAGAGAGGCTGCGCCCCTCCCTGCAGGAGGGCTCTCCCCAGGACTGGGGCCCCCCGCCCCTGGGGTTCCCTATCCCAGCAGCCCCTGACCCAATGGGTTTCCAGTCAGCCCTGGAGCAGGCTCTGGGGGAGGCTGGGGAGGAGGCCCCTGCCCCAGAGCCCAGGGATGGGGCTGACTCTCCCAGGCAGGGCCAGGTCAGGCCGCCGACCTCTCCCCACGCTGACACCGATGCCTACCTGTCCCTCCAAGAACTCCAGGCTCAGGACCCAGCTTACCTGGTGTAGACGGATAGCCAGGGGCGGGAGGCAGGAGACTGCCCGCTGTCGTGCCAGGACCGAAGAGGGTCCCAAGGACAGTCCACTGCGGAGGACATCTCCACCCGGACGCCCCCACCCAGTGCCACTCTCAAACCTCACCCTGGGGTGGGGTGGGAGGCTGATCCCCCTCCCTCTCTCATCACTGAGTCCCCGGAGCTTTGTCTCTGGAGCATAGGCGCCCCCCAGCCCGCAGTCACCTCCTGACACCGATCATCACCCTGACCTCCCTCTGGGCTTCCTCTGCAGGGCACCTCCAGAGTGGGCTTTCCACACATAAATATGGCCAATACAGCCACATCCCATGCCTGCTCCAAACCTGGTGTGGCTCCCTGCAGCCATTGGCACCATCCTTAGCTACCACTTGCCCCTCCATGTCAGGACAGTCCCTTCTGAGACCCTCACAAGTGGCCTCACCAAGCCCCTCGGAGCTGCCTTGCACCCCACACCTTTGCATGCGCTGTTCTCTGTACCTGGGCACCCACTTCTCTAGGTGACAAATGTCCCTCATCCTTTACATGCCAGCTCTGCTTCCCCTGGAGGGAAACACTGCTGGATTCAGTGCTAGGAGGGGAGACCACCCAAGCCACAGGGTGGGTGGCGAGGGGTCTCTCCTGACCTCTCCTGACCTAGGAACAGACATACATCCTTGCAGAGGGGACGCTTCTGGAGCTTTCCACAGTGGCCTCCCACACTCACAAGGGAGGGGCTGCTTGAAAGTCGGAAGCTTGGACTCCCTGCAGCCCAGGCAGCAGCCCCTTCCTCCCAGCAAAGGGTCCCCACCCTGGACAGCTCCCACCCACCCTCCAGCGAGGGCTCTTGCCCTCATTCCCAGACTTGCCTGCACTCACCCCAGCAAGAGGCCAGTCCCTTCACCTCGCAGTGCTCCCTTCCAACTCCGCTGGCCCTGTCTGCTCAGTGTTCCTACCACCCCTCACTCCCCTTCCCTCTGTGCCTGCCACTGTTCATGTGCGATTACCACCCTGCGCCCCACAGGGAAGACTCCCCATCCCAGTGACTGGCTTGGGACCAGTAGGGTCTGCATTTATAGGTCTTTCTTGCAGCTGATTGGGCACCTAACCACAAGCCCACCCATAGGCTGGCTAGCGGCCTGTGAGATAGCTTGACACAGAAGCTCGGTCCAATCAGGAAGGCTAGGCATGATCTAGCCAATCAGATTATCTCTTGGGCTCAGGGATTTTAAAACGGGAAGAGTGAGAGGCCCTGGGGAGCAGAAGCTTGGGGATAGGGCTGGGAGAGAGTTGTTGAGCCACGTGAGCAGAAGATCTGGGGGTCCTGACACAGAAACTCCAATTCCCTGAACCATTCTGTCCTGATCCCTGTTTCTTTATGTTCAAAATAAACTCTTTCATGAGGTTGTGTGAGTTTTGGGTCTTTACTGTGGAAAGTGTTTAATTACTAGAGGGTCTCATTCCCACCTCTCAGGCCATAAGGGCGCCTCAGGCCTGGCCGGTGGGGCAGACCCGAGCCACACTTTTGCTGTGTGTCCTGGCCTAAGCGGCCAAACCTCTCTGTGTTCAGTTTCCCTGTTTCCAAAATGGCGATAATATTCACCCTCACACTTTGAAAGGTTCTTGGGAGGGTTGTATTTCTCAGATCTTGGGGACAGATAGATGAATCTCTGTGTACCACCATTGTTATTATTTTCTTGATACTTTTAAAAAATCAATTCACTTTTAAAAAATACATTTAAAGAAGAATCTTTTTCAAACACAAAATTTGGCGGTACTGGGGATTAAACCTATGACTTTTGCACTGAGCTATATGCCCAGCCTTTTTATTTTTTATTTTGATACAGCATCTCCTAGGTTGCCCAGGCTGGGCTCCAATTTTTGATCTGCGTGTCTCAGCCTCCCAGAGTGTTGGGATAACAGGTGTGCACCACCATGCTGGGCTAAGAAAAATCTGTTTCTTCTTCATTGTCGTCGTCATCGTTGTCTTCGTCTTCTTCTTCCTTCTTCCTTCTTCTTCTTGTTTTGAGACAAGGTCTCCCTATGTAGCTCAGGCTGGCCTTGAACTCACTACATAGCCCAGACGGGCTTCAAACTCATGGTGAGTCTCCTGAGTCAGCCTCCTGAGTGCTGGGACAACCGGTATGTGCCACCACACCCGGCCTAAGAAAAATCTTTATAGTGTTTCTCTGAGTGGAAAAACTGATTTTCACTATATATAAAAGGCAACTGTGAAAAGTAAATACAATGAAGCAAAAGCTTATATTCATTGCTCAGTGGAAGTCTGTTGTCTCTTGGACTGGAGGGGAGATTAGCAAGTATTGGGAAGTTATTGAAAACCAAATGGATACTTTATCCTTGAGACCAAACAAAAGAATTGTAATATTTTTCTCTACTAGGCGTCAGGTTGATCTTACTTGGTGTCCAGGCAGGAGCCAGCTAACATCTGTCATATACCTCACAGATCTGTCCTTGGGAAATACTGTACTTGATGTGTCTGTCTGTCTTATCTATCATGTTTTTGCAGTGCCCTAAAAAAATGGTGGTCCAGGCCATGGATAACAATTCCTGGCATTCATAAATCCAGAGCCATGCAGAAATTGCTAATTGACTGCACCCTTGTATGGCCGACATTTCTAATTGATCACAGCCTGCCTTCCTGCAGAGCCTGGGTGCAGTTTTCGATTCTTCAATGCTATGCTAGGGGCAGCCTCCAGCTGATCACAGCTGGTACCTGGTGACATCTTTGGACCACATAACCTCTCAAGTTCCTTTTGCAAAAGGAACTCTTAATTTTTCCAACTCCAATTTTCTAGACAGGGAAAAGCGGGGCTGAGACTCTGGGGCATGGAAAGCCGAGAAGGATCTATGACCAGGGAGGTCCAGGGAGCCCAGCTGTCCCCACCATACCTGGTGAGACTTGAGCTGCGGGAGTGGAGGAAGGAGCCACCTTACACCGCTGGAGATGGTGCGATGGGCCTCAGCACTCTGAGAGCTGCCCTGTGGGGATCAGAGCCTGCATCTTGGCGAGGGGGTGAGGGGGGAGCAGCTGGCAGGGGTGGGGGTGAAGGTACCAGCTGGGGACCAGGCAGAGCCCAGCGGGGCCCCAGAGAACCATCAGGTGCAGCGGGAAGCGGGAGGCAGCTGGCAGATCGGGGGGATCAGAGAAGAGGGGGTTCTAGCTGCTCACATTTCTTCTTTGTGTAGCTGGATTTGTTCCTTTGCCTCCCCAGCAATTCCCAGATCCCACTCTGAGCAACTTCCAACCCAAGGATGGTGGCATTTGTGGGCCCCAGTCTATGATGAACAGCCCGTCACCACCTTCCTCACCGCTGATGTCCCGTTCCCTGAGGGGAAAATATCCCCCCAAACCAAAATGATGAAAAGCACACTGAACAGGGAGGTGAGAGCTAATCTTCATGCCAGGCACTGCCCACGTGCCATCTTGCGTCACCTGAACATGACCCTGAGAGGTGGAATTTTCGTTCCCCATTCTGCAGATCACGAAACTGAGGCCCAGGGAGGCTCAGAAGTACAGCTGATGGTTAATAGCAGCAGGATTTAGACTTGGGTGCAGTGAGCTCCTTGCTTTGGGCCCTTTGCAAATTCAAACCTGCACGGGAGACACTGACAATGAGCAGAAAGGGACCGAGTTTCCATTCTTAGCTTCCTGAGCAAAAGCAGAGATGCCACGATCCACCACTGGGACCGCGTGAGGAGAGAAAAGCCCTTTAAGCAGTTTGCCTGGTCGATGGGGTTGGGCAGGGGCCAGCGAGAGTGGGACAGAGGTGGCCTTGCCCCAGCCTCTGTCCCCTGGTCGCTAGCTAATGGGGCGCCCTCTGCCTGCCCCACCGTGACCCAGCCCAGCACCTGGGCGGCTGCTCCCATTCCCACCCTGGGGGCCGTGCAGCAGGCTCCACCATCTCCCTCCTGGATCCCTGCTCAGCCTCCTCCCTGGCTCTCCTGTCCCTGCCCGACCGCAATCCTGCCACTTCTGCCCCTGGGCCCTGCCACGGTAGCCCTGCGTGGCCCCCAGGGACGCCCTGTTTGCAGTATAAAGGCCAGACTCCTTAATGGGACAGTCCACAACTTGGGGCACCATGGGGTGCTCCTATTTGCTCTCCTGCTCCATTGGTGAACTGATCAGTCAGACTGAGTGATTTCCAAGTCCTCTCCTGGCCCCAAGTATCTGTGGTTCCAGGTGCCACGTGGACCGTGGCATGAGGCTGGAACCACGTTTCACTTGAAGAATTGGAAGCTGCGGTTGGAGGTAGGGATGAGAGCAGGGACTACCACCGACTCATCTACCTTAGCACCTGCTGATCCCTGGATTTGAAATAATCCTGCACCTCAATAGTCTACTCCCGGACTCCTATGCATCCCTTAGAACCCTACTCAATCATCCCCACTTCTGGGAGGCCCACTGATTCGCCCCAGGTACGGTTGATTACTCCTCCTACTGCCCTTCTCCTGAGCTACCTGTTCTAATGATCTGTTGTGCTACAGGTCAGACTGTGGGCAGATTCTGAGAGCACAGGAGTGGTATGGATAGCACTCTGGGAGGTGGAGGTGGGGGGATCACAGGTTTGAGCCTAGCCTGCGCAACTTGGTGATTTAGTGAGGCTTTAACTAAAGATTTAAAAAGGCAGGGGTGGTCTGGGGATGTAGCTCGACGTGAAGACCTTAGGTTCAATCCCCAGAACCACCACCAAAAATGGGGGGTCAGCGTGTATGGAGCACTTAGATGCATTAGAATTAGACTGTTCTAAGCACAGTGTTACTAACTGTTCTAAGCACTGTTACTAACTCACTTGCTTGGTCCTTATGGCAGTGCCCGAGGGAGTTCCCTCTCACCCCGTTTACAGCAAGACTGATTCAGAGTGGGTAAGTGACCTTCCCGAGGTCACACAGCGAGGTCATGGAGCAACGGTATGAAGCCAGGAGATCCAAGGCACTGACCGGGTCCAGGTCTTCATGACTTTTAGAGCTGTCTGCATCCAGCCTTGCTGATCTCTGAGTGACCTAGCGGGACAGGAATGTCGGAGATTCTCTGTCCTGTTTCTCAGGTGAGGACAGCAGGCCCCAGGGGCTGGTGCCTTCCCAGGCCCGAACCAGCTGGGGGAGGGGCGCCACCGCCAGCAGCCAGGCCTGGCCCATGACTGCCCCGGGGCAGCCCCTTCTCAGAGTCTTTTTCCACCCCGTGGGATGTGACGCATCTGGTGCTCCAGCCTGGGGGAGGTGGGGAGCCCGGCAGGAAACCCGGCAGGGCAGACCGAGAGGGCGCAGGCCCGGCCTTCGGTTCCAGGAAGCCAGGATGCAGGCGGGGCGGCCTCGGGCGCCCTGCGTGCTGACTGCGCACGCGCGCGCGGGGAAGGCGTGACCGCGGGGGGCACGGCGTGGTTTGGGGGGACTAAGGCTTTGTCAAGAGCTGAGCTCCCGTCTGGGAGGGAGGCAGGGAGGCAGGGAGGCAGGGAGGCAGGGAGGCAGGGAGGCAGGGAGGCAGGGAGGGTGGGACCCTGGCAGATGGATAGGGAGGGTCCTCAGAGAGACAGGAGGAGTTCATTCATTCTGCTACTCATTCACTCGCTCAGCACACGGTTAAGAAGGCCGGTGGTGTGCAAGGCGGGGCGCTCGGTGTTGGGGATCCGGCAGTGAATAGAGCACCCTCCACCTGGCCAGATGGCCCTGCAGCCTCCTTGGGACAGTGCGGTGCAGTAGTTACGCCCTCGCACTGGAGCCAGGCAGCCTGGGTTAAGTCCTGACTCTGCTACCTCCCGGCTGTGATCCTGGCAAGTGCCGAGCTTCCCCGGACTCAGCTTTCTCATCTGTGGGGATGGCAGGATGCGTGGCCCAAGGGCGCCTGCCTAGCAGAGAAGAGCTGGCTGCGGGGAGACAGACGGGAACAAGGCTGCGATCACGTGGCCCACGGGCTGCAGGAGTGGAAGAGCAGACCCTCTGGCTAGTGTCTGGTGGTCTCTGCTGTCTGGGAGCTGCTATTTGAGGCAGGGGCTGCCTGGACCCCGCTGCAGACTGAGCTCCTATTATCTCCTCCTTTCCAACCTCGTGTTCCGTGACTCCCAGCACCTAGGCCGGTTTCAAGGGTAACATGGGGTGCGACCTCGTCTCTGAAGTTGACAGTCTGGGGGGGGTGACGCATGCTAAGGGAAAGCTACGGGGTCTTCCTCCCACCCTTCCAGTCCACCCCAGTTAGCTGCCACCAACCCAAGGTCAAGGGCATTGCCCTGCCAGGCCTGTTGCACGTAGCCTCTTTGAGCCTCAGTCTCCCTCTCTGTAAAATGGGTCAAGAAGGTCTGCATCCCCTCTGAGCTCCCGTTAGGCTGAGACAGTCTGCTCTGTGAGAAGTA